AGATTGACCTATGCTAGTAAGAGTCCTGACCTATGCTAGTAAGGAATCAAAGTTCTAATAGAAAAATAAATTTCACTTATACATGAAGGAAGTATTAAAGATAAAATTGAAATGATATGGCCATATCTAATCGTTGAAACTAAATATTAGATCCTTTCTTTCATAAACAATAACAATATTTGATCAGAGTGGCAATAGATAAATCTCATATCAAACAAAGAAGAAAACAATAAATAATATATAAGGACTTGAGTTATTGCTTCTAATAAAGCTAACCTTTGAAAACGGAACATTAAGTCTTAGTATGGTATCAAAACTTATAATTTGAAACGAGTAATTCAATCCAAATAAGACTCGTATAAGTGCAATGATTTTAAACGAGCCAAGATGTATCCGACATTGAATAAAAATGCTAGACAATAAATAATATATAAGAGTATAAGTTATTAGTCTCTGCTCGGAAATGATTATTAATATTATTTTAGGAACTTTTTAAGAGAAATAGTGGTGGAAACAACCAAATATGTGATAACTAAATTTATAATTTATTTTAACACAAGGCACACCGTTCATTTTATTTTCTATTTACTGTATTATACTAGGAAAACCAATGGAATGGAACCATTAAAAGGGACCAACATCATTGGACTTTTTTCATAATATTTTCCTACAAGCAAGTATTGTTAACGAGATATTTAATTTAATATTTTTCTTATTATTAAGGTCTTTAATAAATCAAGAATCTTGATTGCCAAATTATCCGATTGAGACTCATAATTTCGTTCAATTATATCGTGAATGTCGGCCTATAAACTATAGCATGACATTGTGGAGATAAATTTCGGCTATTATTTATAATCTATACTTGAAAACTAATGTAAAACTTTATTCAAGACGTGAGTATTTATCAGAGAAGGTGGGAGAAACTTTAGAACAGACCATGTTCACATAGATCAACTTGAATAAACATTACATGCCAACAATCTCCGGCCAAGCTCCGCCATCAAATGGCGAGCATCAACCCTGGCAACGAGCGTTTTGTGAGATCTCGAGGGTGGCTCTGCCACAAAGTTGTGAAACTTGAACACCTAGAAGGTCTCAAATCCTTAACAGTGAGCCAAGTATTGAAATATTCTCTAAACTGAGTGATCAAACCATCTTTTAGGGTCCAAACATGCACCCAATACACTTGGGCACCTTCCCAGCCCTCCACTATCACGCATTCATCAATGGCGTCGATGCTTCGAGGCTCGAATTTGAATGCTGTGGTGGAGCATTTTCCGGTGAGCATTTTCATCATGTGGTGGCAGTTTTGAGGGCCGTGGAACCACCACTCTAGGTCGGGGGCTATGAGGCCAGCCACTGTGGCGGTGTCGCCAATTGCTAATCCTTTGTAAAGGGTGTTTACAATGGCCTTGTTATGGTCCTCCAGTGGCGGCGCCGCAAATGAATCAGCATTTGTTATTTCCATTGTGCAGTGTGTGAGTAAAAGATTATAGAATTGTTTTTGAAAAGGCTTCGTTGGTTTTTGCATGGTAAGGCCAAGTGGAAAGCCCTTTTATATACGAAACTTTAGAGAGGAATGGGACCCAACAACAAATTATAGATTTCAAAGCGTTTAACTTGTCCAATCAAGATTGAAATATTTAATTTTGAAATTTATTAGACAAAGAGTTGATAGTGATCTAATGCATTCCCCACTTAAACCTCTGCGCGAAAACAAAAGAAAATGAAGGAAATTCCATGGATCGACCCCATCATCTCCACCCAATAGAAATTATGTGATCAACCTAATGACGCATATGGCATCCAAGTATGTCACAAGCCAACCATATAACTCTTCAATAAGGTAACATGTTAGCTATTTATTCTCGAGTTGAAGCATATTGAGTAATTGTGATAATTGAATTCACTTAAAGATAACACACCTTTACTATACTTTCCGCATTATATTCGAGAAGATCGTATATTTAAAAGTTAGACACAGATGATGAAATATATAGATAAAAAGATTTTACCCATAAAAGTAAATCGAATAATCACATCTTCTATGTTTTTATTCCATTCGAAGTCCCAATCTATGGAAATTATCCTCTTTAATAAAAATTGTAAAGTGGAATTGTTGAATGGTCTATTCTAGTTATTGGGTTTAATTGTGTAGGGTCTTTTTGAGCTGGACAACTCACTTTTGAAAGTAACTAAAAACAATATAGAATTTTAGATTGCACCGGTACCAGATAAATACCAAAAAACATAGTTCAATCTTCATACATACAATTACAAATTTTAACCAGCTTATAATTCTTAATTATAATCGACCAACAGCAACAATGTCATTTTCTGTTTATTTTTTTAATTACTTTCTAATTTTATCTAAGAATTATTCCACTTTGATCCTATAACTCTTCTTGCTTCATAATATTCTTTGTGCTGGTTTGACTCACTAAACGAATGAAGATAAATGACAAATATATTTTCTGATACTTCTTGTTGATTAGGTGGTTCATATTTTTATATATGGGGGTTAGGTGATGGAGCGAAGGGATGAGACAGTAGGTTTGGACACGTAACGTAGTCAACTAGTCCATTATGTTAGATGCATATAAGTTAGTCCACTCTTGGTGTACGATACAATATTGTAATGGTAAATTCTGGAATTAGAGTTGTACATAAACAATCTTATGTAACCCTATTTTAAGCTAGTGGATTAATCGTGCCTTACAGCGGATCTAGGCACGTTGTTGAACTACTTAAATTTTTGTACTTCAATCTTTATGCTTATCAAAGTAAAATTTATGACCATTTATTCATGATTTAATAAAAATATAGTTTCCTAAAATATTAGAAATATACACACATTATTGTTACTTCTCGAAAGTTACATTTTTGAAATATTGTCGTTTTTTAAGACCATTTAGCATATACGTAAAATTCCCAATCTTATGAGAGAACTCGTCACTTAAATTGACAATTTTCTTGCAATAAATAATTGGAAACACCATCTTAGTTTGGAACACTTTAAATAAATATTGTTTATGTCGATGGCATTGTAAATATTATTTATTTGGCACATACAACATTACTATAATTTGTCCCAAAAAAGAACACTTTAGTTCTACATTTTGTCTATAGCTAATAATCATTATCGTTATAATGAAATTCCTATAACATAATTTCGACTTCAATTGACACAAATAGTCTTGAAAAATAGTTTCAAGAATCCCAAAACACACGTGAAAAAGATTATGTATATTCCTTTTAGGATACTCTAATGCATAAGTTATTAGATTGATCGTATAAATATTTTAGAGGAATATTTAGGAGTATATAATTTTGTGGCATTTAGAGTGTAACAAAAGAGCTTTTACGAAGATTTATTTATGATTGTTGGAAGTCACGTGTGTGACACAATCCTATTTGATGTGAATCGGTAGACTTCTATTAATTGAAACGATACAGAATTCGACTTGACTCTAAATAACAATTTATAATTCTAATATGTATCGATTACATTAATTAGGTGAGCTTTAGTCCACAATGAGAATGAAGGTTAATCATAAGAAATTTTACCATACATGTGTAATACATAATATCTTCATCAATTACATTATTTATAAAATATTATAATAACCTAATTTAAATCCTAACAACCAAATAAAAAAATAAATGAATAAAATCAACTCCCCAAATCTCAAATAATGGTGATACCAGTTGGATCCAACCAGGTGCCGCTCGTGCACACAGTTGGAACATTCTCCCATTATATAAAACACTCATCCATTATTTGGACTGTACAATGAATTGAACTTAAAGTTGGACCCCCCCCCCCCCCCCACGCACCTCTACCCTACCCCACACCTACCACCCCCACCCCCCAAGTAGATGGGAACTGTGTACCAAGTTAAGGTCCCTCTCTCTTTACCCATCATTTCTTGGAACTTTTGAGAATTCTTCTGTAAGAATTTATGGGGTAGAGGAGCCCAATCCACCCCAACAAACAGAGACCCGGGCAGTACAATAATTAATTTCGTGCATGCATGTATACGAGTCTTATCCACAACCTTTGAATGTCACTTCATATTTGCATCCACTAGAAATTGATGTATGATGATTTCAAGTTCCTTACTGAAAGAAAGTTAGATCAGACCATCATTAATGGTTACTAGAAATAGATTCAGACAACGTTAGAAATTTATTTTCTTGTTTTTCATCCACTTTTTTGAGGTTTAAAGCTTCCTTTTTTATTTTTTGCTTTCTTTCTTTCTTTCTTTTTTTTTTTTTTTGTATCGTGTCCACTTTTTTGTAGCAATATTGAAGTTGATGGTCTCAAAATACTCAAGAAAAGAAATGAAGAAACGAGTATCTCACTTGTCCATGCTTGGCTATGTTTATAAACGATACAATTAGTCGAATCACCTTTTATTCACATATTTCGTGAGACACACAAATACTATACATTTATTCATCACTCATTTTTATGTGTTCATAATTTAAATTGTTTATAAACACTTTCCAAACACAAATAATTCATAATTACTCATCCCAATCTAAATCTTTTTCTATCTATTAGATAGATAATCCTAGTCTAAAAGTTTTATGAGGATATATTTTATTTTTTTTCGCCTACACAAATTGCTCCTTTTTTTTATATAAATTAAATCCAAGCACCACTATTTACCCTTTTTCTTTTCTTTTCACCTTCTGGGATATATATATGTCTTGAAAGGGATTATTTAACTATAAAACACATAGTTAATTGGAGCTGAAATTGCAGCCAACTCTTGGCCCCGCAAATTGATAAAATTTGAATAGAGACACAAAAAATGAAATAAACGAGTTCAGTATAGTCTATTTTCTGATTGAAAATTGGAAAATGGGTCCATTGGAATCAAATGTTAGGTAACTAATGCCAATTGATGAGTCAAACAAGTAGCATCAATCATTGTTGATGATTCAGTTCATCAAACCACTTTCGAATATGCATTGAAAGCACATAATTGTTGGTTTTTGATAATTAACCAAGTTAATAAGTTATGTATTCACATAAGAATGTTGTTTATAAATGTGAAATATATATATATATACACACACTAGGTGCAAGCA